TTATTTTTTAATTATTTGATGAAATAATAACACAGTTTTTTAATTTCTCTAATACAAAATTATTTCAAAAGAATTGATGTCTTATTTAAATATTTCAATAAACCATTACCAGGTTCAAAAATTATATTTTCAACGTTATATCATATCCATTGTCTTTAAAGGTCATGAATTATTATCCAATCAAATACCATTTAGTTGCATTGAAAAACTTAAATAGACCTTCCTCAAGTTGCAAGATCGTAATTAAGTCGAGTTAATTAGAAGGACTGTGAGTTGACACAATTTACTTACACTCCTGATAAAAACTTGTATTAAAAATGTTAATTTCTCAAATGAATTTTCAAAAATAACATATTGGTTTACCAAAAGAAAATAATATTTTTATTTTCAAAAACAAAATTAACTTATGTTTTAGTATGTGTATTACATTAAATATATTTTATATATTTAAAATTTATATATATATATATATATATATATATATATATATATATAAAACTATTTATGAATCGTGACAATTATTTCGTGTCAAATTCCTTTATCTTTTATATCCTTTTCACCCAATTGCACAAATGGTTCTATTATATACTACACAAATAACGTTTATTTTCATATTTAAGATTAATAGTTTAAAATTATAATATGAAGTTGATTTTTAGTATAGCTAAACACATGATCGAGAGAGAAAAATATTTAATGCAAAAATTACATATAATGAAGATGTTCATTCAAAAGATGAAATAAATATGGTAAATAAATGTTTATTAGTAGAGTAAGAAAAATGATAATAAAGATCTAACTATTTAATATATTTATTTATGTATTGTATTTTATAATCTTAGATTTTGTTTCTTCTGTTGTTTTTATGATGACTTATGGAAACTTAATATGAGTTGACTCTAGTTTAGTTTTGTAGAGAAAGATACAAGCAAACTGTATTATGGTTTAATTAAAATAAACTAATGCATTGTATTAATTCATTTAACATAATCATTAGAAAATTATTCTTATTTTTGGTTAAAGGTATGCTATTGTCTTTGATGATAACCACTTGAATATTGTTTGACAAAATGGAAATTAGTTGTGTGACGTATGCCTTATTTTAATATTATATTAATATTATTGTATAAGAAAATTTTGTAACGAAGTTTTCCTCATGCACAAGTAAATTTTTTTCTTATATATGCATACTGAAGCGGGGGAGGAGGAGAATCAAAATTTTCCTCTCATCCTTCTTCTTCTATTGTCTAAATTTCAAGCAATGAGACTCTACTCGTGCAGGATCCGGTGAAACGGAGAGAGCTTGAATTAAGTGGAAAAACTTCGGTAGAAATACCATACCAGGCAAGGGAAGTTTAATTCATTCAATATATGAAATTGAATTGTTGGGTACTATGTGAATAAGGAATAGGAGTAGAGATATGAATTATTTGAATGTCTGATTTTGAAGAATTTCTGATTTTGATGAACTGTTCACCGTTTGAAAGTTTTTGAAATTCTTGAAATTAAGAATGCATTATATAATAAAATTGTTGTTTTTAACTTAAATTGAACATGTTTATGATTTAATTTTGATTTGAAACTAATTTGGGTGATTGAAACTGAGAAATTTGAAACCTGGATTTTGAAAATGGCGTATTGGAGGTGATTACTATTCATATTTTGCAAAGTTTTAAATATTGATTAAATTCTTGAAATTAAGGATGAATTATATGGTAAAATTGTTGTTTTCAACTTAAATTAGATATAATTCATGTTTAATTTCGATTTGAGACTAGTTTGGTTGTCTAAAACTCGAGTAATTTGAAATCTGCCAAAATCTGCAAATTTTGACACTATTACTAGGCGAAGGAAGAAGAAAGAGATATGGTGGAGATTTTTTTAAAAGATCAAGGGTAAAAAAGTCATTTTACATCCTAGGGACATAAATTGAATTTTTGAAATTGTTCAAGGGTAAAATAGTCATTTTTGGGACATGGAAGGAATTTTTGAAAATGTCCAAGGGCAAAATAGTCATTTTCGGGACATGGAAGGAATTTTCAAAAATGTCTAAGGGTAAAATAGTCATTTAGGGATATAAATGGAATTTTAAGAAAAGATTAAGGGCAAAATAGTAATTTAATGATTTCGAAAATGATTTCGGAAATAGTTTCTGAAATGATTTTAGAAAAAAAAAATATATATATATATATATATATATATATATATATATATATATATAAAGAGAGAGAGAATGAAAGTAGTGTGTTGTGACGTGTGTGGGTCGATCGAGCCCGAGGGCTGATGCCCATAATCGATCCCGAGACGTTATATATTGGCTAGACCGAAGCTGGAAGGTTGGTGCTAGAATCGGTCAAATACTATTTTTATTGACTCGAATGAGCCGTGAGGACAGGTGGTCCGAATCCAAGCAAATGTGAATAATTTTTGTTATGTTTGAATGGTACACTGGGTGGTACAGAGTACATTAGTGTAATAACTATATCGGAGGATTCTGAATGAGGTCCCATACTTCACTGATTGGTCGGGTCAGGTAGACTACGAGATCAGGTGGTGAGAAGTCGATGGGGGATGACTGGTGGCGCGCTCGGAGGGGTACTCCAGTATGAGTGATGAAGGGCGCTAGTAATCCTACTCTGTGTGGAGGGTGGTCAGAATGGTACTGCGGGTACCGATCACAATGTGCCCATAGATGATAGCCTATGAGTTTGGCATAGTTAGGGTATACTTCCGGAAGGTGTCTTAGTGTGTTGATATTTTCGTAATTGATCATAATATATATTATATCGAATGATTTAATACTTACCCCTATTTTTTCATGTGGATGAGACTGCGATGATTACTTTTATGTGGGAGCAGATCAGGAGTTGAGAGATGGTGATGTGACTACTGGACGACGAGGATAGTTCAATGGGATGACTTCGAGGGAACTACTTTTACATGTATAATATATAAATAAATTATGTTACTATATTTTGAAGTTCAGTTAGTGAACCTGGAATTTCAATATATGTTACAATTACAATAATATAATGTAAAATAGATGTTGTTATTTACTTGTTTACTACTTTGCGAAGACATCATTATAGTAGTAATTTCTAGGGTGGTTACAAGTTGAATTTAAGTAAGACATTATATTTATGTTGAGTTATTACTTCTTCTTTTTTTTAATTGTTGTTTTTTTTAGATTTTTTATATTTTTATTTATCTGCCGTTTATAAATTAAATTATATTAATTATATATTTATTTTGTTATTTTCTATAATAAAAATATAATAAATTACTGTGATGATTTGCATTGTAGAGAATGTCACAATGATAATAGTATTATTGAAAACAAAATTCAGAAATTTATTATAAATCATAAAAATTATATATTTTTTTAATTCAACGTTAATATTTATTTGTTTTTTTATGTAGCAATAAACTGGTAAATAATAAGTTCTCCTTGGAAAATTTTCCTCAAATGTTATGTTTTCTTTCATTTGTTTAAACTTTTTTTTTTTTACCAAATAATTATTTTTTAAAAAATAAGTATTTTCTTTGTTTGGATTTATTGCAACTTTTTCAACATAATTACAAGTTAAAAAAAATCAGAAATCTGATTATAATGAACAGTTCCTTTATAAGTTCTATTAGGAAAGATATATGACGCATTCCTTATTAATACACTTCAATAAAATGATATATTTTTAATTTACTTTAGAATTACTGAATAGGTTCTTTAACTATTTTACTTTTTAAACTAGCTCTAATTTTGTTAATTAATGTGACTGAATTTGTATTTACTTTTTAATCAAATTTATGTCATTAATCTCCTTCGGTTAAGTTAATTACATATATCGAATGAAAAAAATAAATACAACTTCATGAACCCAGTGAATAAATAGTTAAAGGACCTAAAAAGTTAATTTAACTTTTTCTTTTTCTAATTTCATACAGTAAGTATGTAGAAAAATAAATTAAATTTATTATTTGAAAACATTGTTTTCCTTTTTCATTTTTTCGAAGTTCCACATAATTATTTATTTTATTTTCCTAACAAAGGTATAAAAACTATAATTTTTCATCATAAATGAAAAAAAAAAAAACATTTCGTCTCTAAATTAAAGAAGAATAAATGCTAAACAAAAAAGATTCTACTGTTTAAATACTTTGATCATAAATGGAAAGAAAGTTTTCATTTCACTTGGTACCAATTCTACCATACTTTTAATCTCATAATTTAAGATGACAACCTCCTACCACAAGTACACTTGGTCCCTCACATTACATTTAATTTCATTTACACAAATTTGGTCCTAACACCGAGAAAGAGAAGTCAAATTTTTAACTAAAATGGTTTGAATCTTCTGTGTTAATAAATGATTGAGATTTATTAAACACTAGTTTTTGTATTAACAAAAAAACAAGAGAAGCTTCCAATTCATTATAAGCATATTTTATTTATTTGATTAAATTTGATAAAAGTTACAAATTTTAGCTAGTTCCATTTTTTTATTTAATTTTATAGAATGAATTTCAATCAATAAAAAATATATGGAAAAAAAATATTATAAGTTTGACTTGAGAGAAAGGAGAAAGGAGACGGCGTATCTTACGAGACACGCACATCGTATCATTACTGGCCTAACATTTGAAAATTGACGACACCAACACTGAATGTGTACAGTGTACACGACACATTCGAGCATTGTGGGTACTGGTTTAACAGTTATCACTCTTTACTCCACGGTTAAATTCCAAATCTTGTAACCTTTCTGCATATTAAACCTCTTTATTCACATAAATAAACGTATCTGCGTTGCAACTTCTTACTTCTCCTACCTCTTCTCGTTAGACCAATTCCTCGTTTGACATTCGTCATTCCCAGCAAACTTTTCCTTCCAAACACCAGTTTTTCATCATCCCTCACACAGAAAAACATGAAGACTCGCGCCTTTACCAAAATCTCTGCATCATGGATTCCCATTTTCTCTGTCTTTTCCTTCATTCTTGGTATGCTCATCACAAGCAGGTATCTCTCTTGAACTGCCTCTCTCTCTGAACTTCAATTATTGTTTGGTTCTTTAATTGTTTTGAGTTGTCAAGATGGAAAATTTGGTTTGTGGGGCTTCGTTTTATGAGAATTTAAACATGATGTTCCGATCCTGGGAATTTGTTTGGCTGCAGGATGTGGGACCCACCCGAATCAAACGGGATGCTTATTGCGCAGCATCAGCGGGACCAACAGCTGCAAGTGATCTCAGGGGACTGCGCGACCAAGAAGGCATGCTTCTATTTCATACAAAGTGTTTCACAACACAAAGTGTTCCGTTTTGTTTTGTCTTGGTTTTTTAAATCTCTTTGCTTTTTTCCCATCAGATGCAACCAAAGGATGCAGTGAGCGAGTTGCAGAAAACCCATGAAGCCATCCAGTGAGTGCCACCTGGAATCTTGTTCAATTTCTCCAGATTTGTTGAAGTTTTCTTTTGTTTCTGATTGTTGATGTTTGTTTTAATTTCTTGGGAGGCATGCCAGAGCTTTAGACAAACAAGTTTCCATGCTTCAAATGGAGCTAGCAGCAGCTAGGAGTTCTCGTGAAAGTGGGATCTCGGATTCAAATGCTTCATCCACCACTTCCGGGGAAGGTTCTCCAAGGAAGAAAGCATTTATTGTGATAGGCATAAACACCGCTTTCAGTAGCAGGAAGAGGCGTGATTCAGTTAGAGAGACTTGGATGCCTCAAGGTAAAGACACTGTTCTTATGAGTCAACTATAAAGGCACAAAAGTTTCTGGAAAGGAGCCAGATTCTTAACCCCGATTTTTAAGGGGGTAGATGCCCAAATTAATTTCTAAAATATTTTGTTTGGTATTCACGTTTTGATCAGGTGAACAACTACTTCAGCTGGAACGGGAGAAGGGAATTGTTATCAGGTTCATGATTGGCCACAGGTAATCCGGTTGGGTCAACTGCGTGAAATTATCAAGACAATTTTTGGTGTGAATCAGGGGAGAATTATAATAAAACCTTGATAAAATAATGGGACATTAGTGTTATTATTTGAGTCAATGTAGCAATACAAATAGATCGTTCTTGTTTGTTTACCAGAGCAAAGTTGTCTCTGTTAATGCTATACTACTTATCTAGCTGCTATATAAAAAAAGGGACACCTTTCAAATGGGTAATCAACATTTTCAGTCCTAACCTAGTTACCTTGAAGAACTAAGGTTTACCATCCTAAGCTAGAGTACGAGGTTACCTATGGGTGCTTTTTGCATTATGATTTTCATTAAGTAATTTAATTCTTCTCCTAAGAGTTTATCTTTAGTTTATAGCCTTGGAAGTGCGTGGTGTATTCTTTCTGTGTGACATAAGAGGAGAATATGATGGCCACATGAATGCATACAAGAGGTGGCTAGCAGTGATTCTCTCCCAATGCAGTTTGAATTTATAGAATGAAGACATAATACATTCAGATTGTATTGACTTGATATCTTATGATGTGTTCTGTGTTGATAACACGCTAACCCTTTTTTATTCTAATCATAATCTTTGCTAAATAAGGAGACACATCAAGAGATGATAAGAGAATATGAAAATCAAGGAAATAGGAAACTTATTCCTGAGAGATAATCTAAGTTGCTCTAAAATATTATAAGAAATATTAATATTATGAGAGGTTTTTCATATACTCTAACAGTTTGTACTCTGCCTATACGAGTGCGATTGAAATGAAACTTGTGAAACTAATATTAATTTCCATGTTGAGTCAATATGAAACTTTTTTTTTTTTTTTTTTCAATTTCACTAGAACTTATTAGTTTATAGAGTCATAGACTAAAAATTGCTTTATAATATTTTAGCTATGTGATGCACATTTTAGTCTAAAAACTGAGTTTTGGACGTTCAGTTATCATTACCTGTGCACAGGTAATGTTTGCAGAGGGATGGTTATTATTACCTTTGCCAAGAAACATTTTAATTATTATGTACATCATCCTAAGTGAAAGATGAAATATTTATATATGGGTTGCTACTTAACGTCACTAACGTGGGTGATATTGCCATTGTTGTCTCAGTGCAACTTCCAACAGTATTCTAGATCGAGCTATTGATTCTGAAGAATCCCAGCACAAAGACTTTCTTCGCCTGGTAAGGCAGATTATTGTTAATAGAAAAGATTGTTTGTGAGAAAACATTGGATAATCTGGAAGGAGTGTGATGTTTAATTTTTTCATTACGTTGTAGGAACATGTTGAAGGGTATCACGAGTTGTCTGCAAAGACCAAGATTTTCTTTTCTACTGCAGTTGCAATATGGGATGCTGATTTCTATGTCAAGGTGGATGATGATGTCCATGTTAATTTAGGTATATACTATCTTAGAGTTATTGATTTCTTGTTTCTCCTTACCGTTTTATTTTCTTTGCCACCTTCCTCTGCCCCATTTCTCTCACAAATAAGCTTTAATATTCTAACATGTGTTGCTGTTTAGGTGTCTTGGCAACAACCCTTGCTCGTCACCGATCAAAACCCAGGGTCTACATTGGGTGTATGAAATCTGGGCCAGTCCTTTCCAGAAAGTAAGTCTTCTGGACTTCTGGCTACCCTTCTTCTACGTCCCTTGGCTTTGTATTTATGTTTGATTTTTGTTTCGTATCGTAGGGATGTCAAATACCATGAACCTGAGTTTTGGAAGTTTGGAGAAGAGGGGAACAAATACTTCCGACATGCAACTGGGCAGATATATGCAATCTCTAAGGATCTAGCCACTTACATTTCCATCAACCAGTACGTATATGAATTTTTCGGGGCATTTCTTAATTGAATATTTTCTGATCTCTAGGCCACTACTAATACTTTTTGCTAGATAATTTGTGCAGGAGTAACCAGGTCAGCATTTCTACTGTATTTGCTGCCACTTTTTTTGAATTTGAAATTAATCCTTAAACTGAATTTGTCTTTGCCCAAGATGATGTTCTGCATATTTTACCGATAGCAAATTACCTATATTATGCGTGATGTTGAAAAGCTGTCTTAATTGTGATCATGTAACTTTATTAAATTGAATCAGACCTAACAACAATTTCCAAGTCATGCTTTGAACAAAATAAGAAACTTTTTTCATGACAGCTTATAATGTTCCTAATATGAAATCTCAGCACAGGGATCAGTCCATGTTTATATAACCATTCAGAATTGTCATAGAATATTCTCTGCACAAGAAATTTCATGTGGATCCTAAATATGACTGCAGGCCGATTTTGCATAAATATGCTAATGAAGATGTCTCGCTTGGTGCATGGTTCATCGGTCTTGAAGTTGAACATATTGATGACCGCAATATGTGCTGTGGAACTCCTCCAGGTATATAACCTGAAAATATGTAACCAGCAAACACTCTCTAGTCTATATTGCAATATTGTTCTGGCAGTCAGTACTAGTTTTGTTGACAGGCAAACTCGGTCTAACCTAGTATTAGTATTTGTGGCTTTCTCACTAATCACTGACTTCCAATATATTTCTACGATTGAACTTTCTTCTAACATAGCTTCTGCCTATCTCTTTCTTGATTTAAGTTTCTTAGGTTTAATAAGCTGGAAGCAATCATAAAGCTCCATATTTACTAAAATTCAAAGATAATCTGAACTTGAACTCAGTTTCTTAATTCCCCCATCTCATCTTTTTGTTTCATCTGGCCATGGTTCTAATTAATGTTTGATGCTTGTGTAGACTGTGAGTGGAAGGCACAGGCAGGTAACATATGTGTTGCCTCATTTGATTGGAGCTGCAGTGGAATCTGCAAGTCAGTGGAGAAGATTAAATATGTCCACTCAAAGTGTGGTGAAGGGGATGGAGCTGTTTGGAGTGCTTTATTTTAGATATTTTCAAAGGAAGATGTGTATTTTTTCCTGGTTTGGAGAGAGACCGATTATTTAATTGCAGCTGAAACAAAGGCATTTTTCAGTTTTGAGAATGATAATTTTCTGCAAATAGCTAGATATAACATGGAGGAGAGGATCTGGTAAACTATTCAAAGCTGGTAAGCGAGAATGGTTGATAATTTTTTGTGGAAGCCGAAAGAAGCAATTGCATGGATGTGGATTTGAGAATATAGATATGATGGTCTTAGGGAGGGCCTAACTACTATTCAAGGTGTTATGTAACAAAGCATATTCTATTTTTTAATTTTAGTTTGTCCCTTTTATACAATGTTTTTGTCCATATTTGGATGAAATTGGTTGTTATGCCCTTTGTAATGAAAAGCAATATATTGATAGTTCTTCTAATGCGTCAAATTTCATTACTATTTTTGATGTAATCAAAGGACAAACATTAATATTATTATTATTGTTAATTAATTTTAATTTTAGTATGAAGTCTTAGACCTAACCATTAATCAATCAAGAAAATCAGTATTTTGTAATCAAACGTGGTTGATGCCCCAAGTGTGTGAATAATCTTGTGCGAGGTTATCTCATTTTTTATTAATAGTCTTGATTTTGGTACCTACGGTAGAGGAAAAATAAGATCTAATCTAGCATGTCAAAAAATTAGTTTTAATTTTCATTGTTATAAGTTTATCCTAGTATTTAATGAATTATTTATTATATTTTAGGAGGTTCTTAATTTATAATTAATATTTCATCTTAGTAATATTCTCTTAATAAAAATTCTAGTACATGAACTATTAAGCGATTAATGCCTTAGCAAAGGTAAGAAAATAAATATGATTAAATAATCGTAGAATTAATTATACATTAAGAATAACTTTGAAATTGTCAAGTGTAGATGTATTAGATTTAACAACGGTTTGTATAGTCAAAAAATATTTCCAAAAAAGTGAGTTATTTTAATTTTTATGATATTAGAGTTCAAACTTAAATATATTTTTTAAACCACTTAGAAATTTTTAATTTATTATTCTTATTAAAATTTATTCATTTTCCAAAAATCAAAACTATGAAAACTTTGAAGTACAAATGGAGCGTATGAAAATCAATCTTTTACTATTCATAATTTGTCATTACAAATATGTGACAACTAACAATGAATTTTTAAAAAGAAGAAATTATGGAGAAGAGTTTTGATGCAGATTTTATATATTAGAATTTTAATTTCACTTCAGTGTCTATAATTCTCGTTGGATAGCACTAAATTTAAGTTTTGTTCTAAGCTTATTGTTGGAACTGTCATTTAATTTATGATTATTATTAAAAGAATTTATTTATATTATAATAATTGTGACAGGGGAAAGCATGGAATAAAATGTGTAGATTTTGTGTGAAATGAGATGGTAATTGTGCTTGATCGCGTCCTCCGTCTTGGCGGTGTCAACGAGGCGGCGGAGAATGGAAAACGCCGATGTTTTCTTGGGCTTACAGGACTTCCTCGAGCGCATGCGGCAGCCCTCCGCCGCTGAATTCGTCAAAGCAATCAAAAGGTTTCTCTGACCTCTCATGATTTTTACATTGCGATCACGATTTAGGTTTGGAATGGGAACCCTAACTAACGAAGTGAGATTTTCGCAGTTTTATCGTTTCGTTTTCGAACAATGCCCCTGATCCCGATAGGGACAGTGCCTTGGTTCAAGCGTTCCTTGCGAAAATGGAAGCGGATTTCAGGGCTCATTCTCTTTGGGCTGGTTGCTCTGAAGAGGAGCTTGAAAGTGCCGGTGAAGTCAGTTTCTGCTTAACTCGTAACATGCTTTTTCTACTTGTTGGTCGCTATGAATGAAAATACATTTCATTTTTCAATAACTAATAAACTAACTTACTCTACTGTCACCTCACATTGAAGACATTTGAAGTTTTATTTTCTGCACTGGATCTCGGATTGATTGAATTGGGTTATTCTTACAATCACTACGATAACTCACTCATCCTTTCATGTTTCTAGTGTTGTGTTTTCTCTCAATAATGGTGAATTCTGTAAGGCACAGATGGCGGTCCAAAGTTTATGCGTAAAAAATAGAATATAATTGAAGACACTGGACAAAATGCAGAAATGTTAAGGAAGACTAGCTGGTCTGCCAATATCAGTATAGCACTTATTAATGAATTGCTGTTCTGGGATTGTGTCTGATCATCTGATATGATTATTTTAGGTCTTAAAAACCGTGGAATTTGAGTGAGATGTTCATGAGCAACAGAAAGCTAGTGGAAATGAACTAATCTGAATCCTCATCTTATGGTCTGTTTGTTTGTGTCTGTTTAAAGAAAAAAATGTCTTGACTGATTTAAAAAACTTGTTTATTAAGTTTATAATAATTAGAGGAAGACAGAAAAAGACTGACGTACCCCAGTGCCAGAGGCTTCTTGCTTCATGAAAGTATTGGAGAGGATAATTGTACAGTGTCTTTCTCTTACATACGCAAAAAGGCTGTGTCTTGATTTGCCCTCATGACCAACCGAGGTGCAACTTTACCGTTGTGTTAGGGTTTGCAATAGGTAGAAAAACAACAAAACATAAAAAAATAAAATAAAACTCTTCCAGTGCTGTTGTCAGAAGTTAAAAAAAAAAAAAAAAAGCTCTGAAGAAAAGCGATATCAAGAAACCACCTTTTATTTTTGTCTTGATTGAAAGCTTGTTCAATTGCACCTTTAGAATCTAGTAAAGAGCTATTGATTCAAATATTATAAAGACGTAACTGTAATATTTGGAAATATACAGAAAGGCTATGGAAAATGTGCATGTCCTAATTTTAAACGGGGTTGTTAAATAGCCGTTGTATCGGCACTATAGAGCTCTTGCCCAGAGGAGTTTCGCGGGTCCGTAATTGCGACTCTCTCTACTATTGGTGCCGCAATCGCTGCTGTTGTTGCAGCATTCATCTTGCATCCGCTTGTCATCTCTGGCAATTCTCCAGCCTATTGAACTTTTAACGTTATGCTTATCTTTATGTATTTACTTTTATCTGCCTACAACTTAATTGTTTTACACAAATTGATATATCGTATATGTCAACCGTTGTCTAACTTCTGCAATATGCCCATGACGCAATCTGCTATATGATATGGTGGATTATTCACTTTCCACCATTGTTCACAATCCGCAATCGATAACACTGTTTAAAATCTTTGCCTTGTGGTGTTGGCCTCTGCATGATCTTTTTACATTATACTAATTTCAATATAGGATCTACTAACTTGTAGAAATATACTTGGGAATTTGGGATAATCATCTGATTCAGTCTTAGCATAAAGACAACACTTAAAAATTAATGTTTACTACCATTAATAATGTTAAGCTAGCATACGCAAGTCAATATCCCATTCACTATTGGTTCTCATTTTTCTTCTTAGCTTTCTTAATATTTACTCATTTTTGTGTTCCTTAACGTTGTCAGAAATACTCATACATTTATTCTATTACTTAATCCATTGTTTGAGTATTGTCTTGCAAACTTGGTTTTCCCTGGACGTCTACCACACTGTGATACTTCATAGCTGGGGCTTTAGGTGATGTCCAATACTATATGTTGAAAGTCTCATATCGCCTACCTCATGTCATTTGGTATGGTTTAAATACATGTTAGGTTAATTCACATATTGCCAATTGGTTTTATGTTGGAACCTTAACATGGTATCAGAGTCAAAGCCTAACATCTTTCCGGTTATTGTCATAGGTCAAAAGTTGCCCTTTAGTTGGGTCAAAAGTACCCTTTGCCTGGTCCGGTAGGGTTCGTTGGAGGGGGTGTGTTGAAAGTCCCACATCGCCTACCTCATGTAATTTGGTATGGTTTAAATACATATTAGGCTAATTCATATATTGTCAATTGGTTTTATGTTAGAACCTTAACACTATATATAAAAGACCAGGATGAAATAAAAATAATTTAATTTCCATACACATGAATTTCACTTAAACTTAAAATTATACTGTCAGTGAGTGAGATACAATTTTTTTGAAAAACATTTTAGGCAAAGCATAGATGGTTGTTATCCTTCAGTTTCAATATTAGGCAAATAAAACTTGGATTGCCGCGAATGTCAACCTAACTTAACCAGAGGGTTTGATGATGCACAATGTGTTTATTCTAGTTAAGACAAGTATTTTTGGATAAGTAAGCAAGTTCATTTCCATTTGATCTGCCAACCTAAACACCTATTCCTGCCATTTTTTATAAAATTAGTTTGAGGAAAGCTCATTCTTTTTGGTTTGATTAAGCCCTGGTGATTTATTATCAGGTTAAATAAGTTTCAATAATTAATGTTGTTTTTCTTTCTGAAATACAACATGAATTCATTCAACTAGGGAATTGAGTGTTAGCTCCTGCACCTATGTACTTTGTTTGTCTTAGAAAACATTGTTTTATATTCTTCAAGTTAAATTCTTTTATTTTATAGTGCTTCTATATTGTCTGATTGCTTTAGCTCTGGATTTTGTTCATATACAGGGACTTGAGAAGTATGTCATGACAAAATTATTCGCTCGTGTATTTGCTTCGGTTCCAGATGATGTAAAACTTGATGACCAGCTTTCTGAGAAGATGGCTTTGATTCAACAATTTGTTCGACCCGAAAATTTGGATATCAAGCCACCATTTCAGAATGAATCATCGTGGTTGGTGAGTCCCATTCAAAAGTAATTTTACCTAGCTCAGTTACGTTCATTTAGCCAAGAGCGTTCATCACTTAATCTAAGTGTATTTTGTGGTTAATTTATTCTCATATAATCTATTATTGTTACAAAATCAACCATTGTTGGTTTTTAATGCAATTGTAACATTTTTGGTATTTTCCAATTTTAATTTTGTTGAAGTTGTTAAAATTACATGATTAGTTTCTCTGTTTGAATCCCACACAACAACTGCCTGTTTTTTGACTTGGGACATTAGCACCATAGACAATGTGGTCTAAGTTCATATAGAGATCCGAATTCTTATAATTTAGATTAAGCATGTTTAAATGCTGGTGTATTCTTTCTCCACTTTTTACATATTTATTACTACTATTGTATTTTAATCATCATTTCGCAATGCCTTTAGATTGATTGGTTCTTGTGTATGTCTCACATTGGATTTCAATGGATTTATATTCATTGTTTCTTGATTGCCTAATTTTTTCTTAAAAATAAATTTTCCATCTGATGTACCATGGTCTCTTACAGTTTGTGGGTTTTAAATAGTGTGCTATAGAGCCACCATAGCATACTGGCCCTGCTGCTACAGAGACTGTTGTAGTAGAGCAGTATTGTGTTGCGGCCAAGTGGCCAGAACAGATGGGTTAGTAAGACTATGTGTTGATTCCAAAAAAACCCTCTGAATAGAGACATTGTGGCATTTTTTCGGGGCCAGTTTTGGGTTTCAATTTCCAATAATGAAATCTGCAGCTGTAATAGTAGTGAAAATGATAAAGAAGACTTGGATTTAGATGACGATTGATGATTAGTGGTTCCTATTTAGGAAACTTATATGATTTTTGTTGGTATTTGTATGTTTTGTATTACTTTTATTGTTAGTTATGAATGACATGAATTTTTAATAAATTTTACTATTTTTGAGAAGTTTTATGTATGTTTACATTATATAAATTTAAATTTCTTTAAGAACTTCAGCTGCTATGGTTTGAGCCAGCTGCCACACACCGCAACCCAGGACTTAAAACTCTGATGGGAAGCAGGATGACTGTGATTTAAATGGTATAATATAAACTAAATAGTATATAATACTCAATAATAAAAAATACCCTTTCATAATAAGTAATAAGTGACAGTTTACGCACACACAATCACCATCCATCTAGGAGCAATAAGAACACAGGAACCACTAACAAAGTAAAGAAAAGAAATTTGATAAAAATTGATAAAATTAAGCAGAATGTGAAGAAGAAAGAGCAGAATACATGAAAAAAAGAAGTCTTGAAAGTGTGAAGGAGCAGTGGTCAAAACGGGTAACTTTTTGTGGAATATTTTGCACTTAAACCCCAAACAAGGGATAATATTTTTGAAGGATATCTCATAGCAGCGCTTCTATGGCACGGCAAAAACTACTATTTTGGGCATTATTGGGGCCACAATTTCGCCATTTGAATGCTATAGACTGCCGCCCACACTGCCATAGCATTGCTGCAGACTACCATAATTGTAAATACAGAATTTATTTGTTGCTGGCAGAAACTGTCGAAGAATCTTCCTACTCTCTGTACTTGTGTTGTTACGATGTTATGGCATCTAAATATTATTATTTTGTCTTGTTCATATATCTCTTTATATATTTCTGTATCCTACAAATCTTATTATATGTTGTATCATTCTTATGGTGGCAGCTCGCACAGAAAGAATTACAGAAGATCAACATGTACAAAGCTCCCAGGGACAAACTTGTGTGTATTCTGAATTGTTGCAGGGTTATTAGCAACTTGCTGCTTAATGCTTCTCTTGCTTCCAAAGAGAATCCTCCAGGAGCTGATGAATTTCTTCCTGTGCTTATTTATGTAACCATAAAGGTAATCTGAATGTTTCTTCACAAATCGATACATGCATAATTTCCCAATTAGAAATAATTTTGTTTGATAAAATGGCATTATTACTTGCACTATCTATAAAATGACGGGTATGACATGTCCATGTGTACATCGATATTTAGTATTACCTTTGTTCCATTATATGCATTCTTGCTTATTATTTTCACTTATACAAATAAATCTTGTAATTCGGTGATGTTATGTAAAGTTATTTATGGCTTATTTCAAATAAATACTTGACGTGGTTGTTGATATGTCATCTTGCATGCACTGTTCCAGTCATCATGGCCTGACCATATTCCCCGTTAGTTCCATTAATTCTTGCTTTAAAGAAGTCAACCCTTTCAGCTGCTCATGGTGCTGAGCTATATGACCTTCTCTTCTGAAATGTTTGCTGTCGAAGTGATTTTATTTTATTTTTTGCTCAAAACTGAAAATTGATGAAGCTAGACAAGACAGACTTTATAAACAGTTGTATATAGTGTGTCCTCAGAAGGATGGAATTTCTCTTTCATACACGGCTTACCAGAAATTAGAAAAAGGAATGTTAACTATAAGAACAAATATATATTCTCATAAACTCTATTGTTAAGTGCCACTCTAATGTAATATACTCGATTTACAGTTTGACAATATATTCTAAATTATACTATGCAGGCAAACCCTCCACAACTACACTCAAATCTACTGTACATACAAAGGTTTAGGCATCAATCTCGATTGGTTGCAGAAGCGGCATATTATTTTACCAACATGCTCTCTGCCGAGTCCTTCATCTCAAACATTGATGCCACAGCCATTTCAATGGATGAAGCTGAGTTTGAGAGTAGTATGGAATTTGCTCGTGCTATGCTTTCAGGCATTTCAGTTGATACGCTAGATCCTGGTTTACCTTATCAAAAAAATGGACCGCATCCAATAGCAGAACTCTCTACGCACAAATATGAAGCTTTGAGTGATAATAAGGACTCTGCACTACAAACTCCGTCATCTGTTGCAAAATCAGAAAGCAAGAAAGTTGCTTTTGCAGATGAATTACCGATTACAAAAGTTCCATCACTCTCGGATTTGGAGAATAAAGGGGCAAGTATGATTTTGAAGGAGAATAAGTTGAATGAAGTTTTCGGGGAGTTTCCATATTTGTTTGCTAGAATAGGGGATCTAACAGTAAGTGATGTTGAAGACCTGCTAAATAATTACAAACAACTTGTTTTCAAGTATGTCTCTCTTTCCAAAGGGTTAGGCGTCTCTCCTACATCTCAGCCACCAGCCAATCCCCAAAATAATTCTGAAGACCATGCTGAAACAACAATAGATTCTTCAGACAGTGAACCTGTAGATGAGAAAAATAAATTTGAAGAATCTATTGATACAGAGGATAGTTCAGATAAAGTTTCACATATCGAGGATACAAAAATTGAATCTGGTCTGCCACAGAATGAACCAGCTGCTCCTGATGGTGATGCCCCCATTTAACTAATTAAAACTAGCTTCAACCAATTTCTCCCCCACCACATACCCCACTTTTCACCCTTTTTGTGTAAAATTATTTGATTATGCCCGTTGCGCGTGGTAGCTGATCTCTTTCCTTAGTTAGGGATGGCCTTACCCTGAGCACTACATCCTCTGTAACATTGCTCGTAAGTAGATTTTAGAACTGCAACGAATAGAAATTTTATGTTTGGTTTTTGCAATGCATAAAGAATGTGAACATGTAAATCTGGTTTTGTTCGATTAACCCCTTATACATTGAAAATTGATGATACTGGCTTTAGCCGTGTTGGATATGTATTTCTTTTATCATTCAGAAACCGCATAAGAAAACTAAAGCCTAACGTATATATTGCCAATTGCATCAGCAAGTACAGAGAGCTGAAGTTGCGGAGGACACTTATCATAAAATCAGGAGCTGATGATCAGAGGTTGGTTATGTATTAATTTTTCTTCCCTCGTTTATTCAAATTTTATTGTAGTGTTGGAGATTAAAACTCAAGATAAATGGTGGTATATATTGGTTTATATTTCGTTTCCTTGAATAGCTACGAGTCATGGAAATTGGGCCTCCTGGCAGAAAATCCAGATCACCCTCCTTGTAAGCATGTTCTTGCACCGACTAGATCTTAACCCAATCATCTCCAGTCCATATAGATATCACACATGGAAAAAGGAAGAAAACAAAATAATGTATGAGGGATATGACGTACACAATGCATGTGCATTTCTAGTTTCTTTTCCATGTTTTAGCTGAAGGGAGCTTGATTGAAATTAGGAGATACGTGAAATCCTGTCCACCATATCAACAAAATAGATCATGCTTCATTTGACGACGCTGGATAGCACCTTTGATTTGTCCCTTTTCTCTTATATTCTTATAATAACTTTTATTCCCTTAATAATGCAGCTATTATATAACCTACGCCCTCTTCGAATCCACATGTCTCCCTATTAACTAATAGTTGTGGCCAATTTGTGTAAGACATCCATTCTCCAATAAACTTCTCATTTGTCTAGAAACAGGGATTCGAAAAATAAAATTCTTTCAAAAGGTCGAATTGAATTAAACCAAATCATTTTATAAAAATCGTTGGATTTCAAATAAATCAACTATCTATTTCATGATTAACATTTTTGAAGAATCAAAGCCATTTGTATGCTGTTGTTGGCTTGGATTAAAACGAAGTCTGGTTTATTTCACACGCCCACTTCCAATGCATACAAATTACAGCACATGCCAAGTGGATTTGTTCGGTAAACGAGTAATTAATTGAAGAATTTGAATAATAATATATTATCACGTACGTGTAGTGTGGCAGAGATCGCAGTTCAAAGACATATATGTCCTCTTCTTTAAAGACAATCTTTGATAATAGTTATGTTTATTTGTTTACGAGTAGGTTCATTCACTTTCACTACCAGGTCTTACATGCCTGTTCCACTTTACCGTTGTACTGTGAATAATATTTAATTATTTTTTCGAGCCGTTTCCATTGGATAGTGAAATGTTCCTTATTTTTTTCTTTTTTCCGTTTCGTTTCCCTTTATTTTGGGACACAATCTACCAAGTTTTTGGTCCCTTAACACCTGCAATCTCTCAATTCCAAAAAGCATGGTAGTTATGAATTTTGATTGAAAACAGAGAAAGTTGATTCGAAAAGCAATTTCTCTTGCTTCTCTTAGAAGTTATTCAGCCATGATAAAACAAAGCAAAATATTATGAGGCAGGAAGGTGACATGATCACATGACCAAACTAATATTGACATGAAAAGTGTGAAACAAAGCAATTGCCAATACTCTCTGTTCAGCGATTTCCAACAACTCTATATATAACACATTTCATTCTCTAAATAGTTGAAGTTTGTGGAAACATAATTTTGTGGTTTTCCTAAAATGAATGAGAATTAGTGTTTTAGTGTACGTTTGCACAGAATAAAGACATGTTTGTAAACCTATCAAATATCATTTAGATTATAATAAATAGTTTATATTGTGATACAATGTTATTTTAATGGTTAATAGTTTTTTTAAAATATTAAAATTTAAATTAGAAATGGTATATTAAAATACACAAAATAGAAAGATAATATTATTATATTAATAAAATTACTTGTCAACTTAATATATATTTTATATTTAATTTTTAAATCATCATTCTTTGATAAAAAAATCTAAAAATATTCTACAAACAAAATTAAAATCACCTCTAAAAATTGAAAAATATATTTTAATTCGTATTTTGAGTCATATCAAAATAAAACATTTGAGATATTTATGTGATACAAACAAATAACTGGAATTAGAGTCAAAACCTGAAAGTTTGTTTACTATAATTAGCAGATAAAGTTTGCTAATATTTTATAAATACATCCTAAAAAAACAATCTTAACCTAAAGATAGATGATGAGAAGGGTGCGATCACGTGCCTCCCACATGTAGACATTGATGGCATGTCGGCCGCAAACAACTGCATCAACCAACGTTCCCAATCAAATTTCTTCCCACGTGATTGGGTCCCTTTTATTTCTTTTTATTATTTTTTTAATTTTATTTGTTTCATTATTATTTTGGACGTGTTTGACAAAATAAATGAATTAATAACGTGATTTTAAAATTTGTGTTTTTCTCTTTTATATATATATATATATATATATATATATATATATAAATAAACTCAGACTCTGTTTTTTTATAGACATAAAAATTTGATATTTTTATTTTATAATAAATGTGGAAAATTATATTTTCATAAATGTTATATAAGTTTCTAGATGATTAGTCATCAAAGTTGTTATGATTTGAATTGCTTTAAGGGTGCATTGGAGTCTTAGGTTAAGTATAGATAAGAGGTGGATTTGTAATGAGAAAATAATATACACACAATTGAAAAAAATATATATATATATATATATATATATATATATATATATTTAATTTCTTCATATAGGTTTATTTATTGCAGATAAAAAATATTTTCAAACTGGATAAATAAAACTAAAATCAGTAATAAAAAACTATTGACTAAAGTAAATTGTAATGTGTTTTTAAAAAAATAGTTTGTGATGTACGGTTGAAGATTAAAAATGTAGAGAACAGACTCTAATAGTGCGTGATTTTCTAAATATATAATATCTTTTACTTGTTAAAAAAAAATTAAGCATGACAAAAATTACTAGATCCGTCTAAAAAATATGGAGTTTATTAATAATTTTAACTCATTAGATAATTTGATCAATTAAGGATGTGATAATCTATCCATTGATTTATTTAAAAAAATATTTATATATTAAAATTAAATAAAAAATTATAATTAAATATATTATTTTTGTATTTCATATTATTAAAATAAATATATAAATATATTATAATATTATATTTAAAATATAAATATTAATTAATTAATTAATTTTACATTATTAATTATAATTAAGTATTTTTAATATATAAATATAATAATTTTTTTATTTATCTAATAAAAATATTAATTAATAAATAAAAACTTAAAATTTTATTTATATAATTAAATATATATATTTAAAAATTATATATACAAAATTTTATATAAGAAAAATATATTAATTCGTCAGTCTATCTAAAAAACATAAATTTGTAATTCATTCTAATTATAATAGATATTAATAAATTATAATAGATATTAATAAATGCTGACCGTTATTATTAATAAATAATAAATATATATAAAAAAATAAAAAAATAAAATGAAAAGATAAAATTATAAATATAAGAAAAAATATTTAATAATTATTAAATTTAAGGATTTTTATAAAATTTTAGGATAATTAGATAGTTAATTTTACTCGAATAAAAATTTTTAATATTTTCATTGAAACGCTTGTAAAAAATTAAATTTTTATATTAAAGAAATTTGATATGAAGATGAGATCATTATTTATTATTAGGTTCTTTTATTAATTTGAATTGTTGCCTCCTAATTTACTCTTAAAAACTTAAAAAACATTTTTTTCAACATTCCTGATTGATTAACAAACTAACCAATTTGACTTGTTCTATAATATTTTTTGTTATTTAAATCATGTAAGGAAGCATGTCAACCATAAATGCTTGTAATTTAGTTTGATGCAAATATTGACATCATTTCCAAGTTTTATACCAGTGTTTTTCTGTCAATGAGATAATAATACCACTTACAGTGTCAGTGTAACACATTTTATTATTATTATTATTATTTATATAAGAATAGCCCGTCAAATAAAGATATTATATATATATATATAAAATATATATATAAAAGTAATTTACATTAATATATATATATATATATATATATATATATTTAGATATAAAAAAAGAAAGAATTTTATTTATTTTTGATTATTTCTATTCTTATTACAATTTCAAAAAAACTAATTAAGGGGTTTTGGTAAATGGTAAGAAACATACAAAAAGGTATGGATGCTTGTAGAAAAGGGATTTGAAATATTTAGGCGTTTCCATTTATTTAAGTTTATATTTAAATAAAACATGCACAAAAAATCACAATAAGAAGTGAAAACATTTATCATTTATAGTAATACAATCTTATAATATATATATATATATATATATATATATATATATATATATATATATATATTTCAACTTCCTTGACACATTCTATTTTATGAAGATTTAAATTAAATTTGTAGTGACTAGTCAGGATAAATAAACCTAATTTTAATCACTCTCTCGGTGATATTTACTCATTTAAATCCCCAAGGTCCAACCTCCATCTACAATATCATCAAATCTTCACAAATAGATATTAAAATAATTAAATAATATAACTATAAATTAATAAATAGGATCGTTGCATTACTAGAGATAAAATAGAGTAGACAAACAAGATCGAGTACATAACTAGAGATAATTAAAATAGGATCAGTGCAAGACTGAAGATAAAATAAAATAAACAAACAGGACCAGTACATAACTGGAGATAATTAAAATAGGATTAGTGCAA